TGAACATTTTGACCAAGTTTGCTGCCTCTGCTGCTCCTAGGCGAGTCTGTCAGTGTGATCAAGCACACCGAGGCTGTCCCCGACCTCAGGGCTGTCAACCAGGACAAGAAGAACATGCTTTTCTCTGTGAGCACCACTTACCATTATATGTTTCACCTAGTGTCCCACCACACTTCTCACTTTTTACTTGTGTTTCTCACAGGGCACCAACATTGCTGCTGGCAAGGCCATTGGTGTGGCCGTTGCTACTGGTGTCTCCACTGAGATTGGTAAGATCCGTGACCAGATGGCTGCCACTGAGCCCGAGAAGACCCCTCTGCAGCAGAAGCTGGATGAGTTTGGTGAGCAGTTGTCCAAGGTTATCTCCCTGATCTGTGTGGCTGTGTGGGCCATCAACATCGGACACTTCAACGACCCCGTGCACGGTGGCTCCTGGATCCGTGGTGCTGTCTACTACTTCAAGATCGCTGTTGCTCTGGCTGTGGCTGCCATCCCTGAGGGTGAGCAGTAAACCCCTGTGCACTTGTACATATTTGTGTGCACTGCCTTTCATCTCATGCACACCCTCCCTCTGTCCTACAGGTCTGCCTGCTGTCATCACCACCTGCCTGGCTCTTGGTACCCGCCGTATGGCCAAGAAGAACGCCATTGTCAGAAGCCTGCCCTCTGTGGAGACCCTGGGCTGCACCTCTGTCATCTGCTCTGACAAGACCGGAACCCTCACCACCAACCAGATGTGTGTGACAAAGATGTTCATCGTCAAGACTGTGGACGGAGACCATGTTGACCTTGATGCCTTTGATATCTCTGGCTCCAAGTACACACCTGAGGGCGAGGTGTAAGTTGAATATTTTAATGTTTTACATATAAGTAAGAGTATTCAACATTTCCACATTCACCAACCACTACAGAAAACATATTAATTGGCAAATCTGAACAGTTCCCAGGGAGGTGCTAAGACCAACTGCAGCGCTTATGATGGACTTGTGGAGTTGGCTACAATCTGTGCTCTGTGCAACGATTCCTCTCTGGACTACAACGAGGTAAAATAGTAATTGTCATTAATTCATGTTTCTGTAAATGTGTACAAATGTGTGTCTAAACAATTTTATCATTATATTCACCAGTCCAAGAAGATCTATGAGAAGGTCGGTGAGGCCACTGAGACAGCTCTGTGCTGCCTGGTTGAAAAGATGAACGTCTTCAACAGCAATGTCAAGAACCTGTCCAAAATTGAGAGGGCCAATGCTTGCTGCGCTGTACGTTACATGCTTCATTGAGAAAAAAAATATTATTCTTTATTCACCAATGACTTAACTGGTTCTGTCCACATTGTAACAGGTGATCAAACAGCTCATGAAGAAGAACTTCACCCTGGAGTTCTCCCGTGACAGGAAATCCATGTCTGTGTACTGCACACCTACTAAGGGTGATGGTGGCGCCAAGATGTTTGTGAAGGCAAATACCTTAGTATTTACATTTTCCTTTTTCATGTAAAACTGTACAGAAGTGACATCTTCTTCTACTCTTCAGGGTGCCCCTGAGGGAGTAATTGACAGGTGCACATATGTGCGTGTTGGCACCACCCGTGTTCCTCTGACCAATGCTATCAAGGAGAAGATCATGTCCGTCATCAGAGACTGGGGTACCGGCCGTGACACTCTGCGTTGCCTGGCCCTGGCCACCCGTGACTCCCCCCTGAAGCCTGAGGAAATGAACCTTGAGGACTCCACCAAGTTTGCTGACTATGAGGTGAGAACTAGAGCTGAATCAGCTGCACCTTTCTTGTGAACAGTCCAGATTAAATTTGTGACCATTGTATCCTCAGAATGACCTGACCTTTGTTGGCTGCGTTGGTATGCTGGATCCCCCACGTAAGGAGGTCACTGGCTCCATTGAACTGTGCAGAGCTGCCGGCATCCGTGTCATCATGATCACTGGTCAGTGTGTTTCCTTTGAAAAAATAAGAACAAAATATGCAGTTTTGACACATGACATAACCAACTCTGCTCTAAACAGGCGATAACAAGGGAACTGCTATTGCTATCTGCCGTCGTATTGGCATCTTTGGAGAGGATGAGGATGTCTCTGGAAAGGCCTACACTGGACGTGAGTTTGATGACCTGCCCCTCCATGAACAGTCTGAGGCTGTCCGCAGGGCATGTTGCTTCGCCCGTGTCGAGCCTGCCCACAAGTCCAAGATTGTTGAGTTCCTGCAGGGTTATGATGACATTACTGCCATGGTAAGACTGTGTCACATCTGTGGGAATTGTGAATGTAATTGTAGACAGAAAATACTGAACCTCTTGCCTTGCTGACCAGACTGGTGATGGTGTGAATGATGCCCCAGCCCTGAAGAAGGCTGAGATTGGCATCGCCATGGGCTCTGGCACTGCCGTTGCCAAGTCTGCCTCTGAGATGGTCCTGGCTGACGACAACTTCTCTTCCATTGTGGCTGCTGTTGAGGAGGGTAGAGCTATTTACAACAACATGAAACAGTTCATCCGCTACCTCATTTCCTCCAACGTTGGTGAGGTCGTCTGGTAAGTGAACTATGAAGTGCAAAGCCTTACTCCTAAATGTAATGGGTCAGAGTCATTAATTTTCATTGTGCTTCTTCCTCAGTATCTTCTTGACTGCTGCCCTGGGTCTGCCTGAGGCTCTGATTCCTGTGCAGCTGCTGTGGGTGAACCTGGTCACTGATGGTCTGCCCGCCACCGCCTTGGGCTTCAACCCTCCTGATCTCGACATCATGGGCAAGCCACCCCGTTCCCCCAAGGAGCCCCTGATCTCCGGCTGGCTCTTCTTCAGATACATGGCCATTGGTGGTAGGTAGAAGTGTGACAAACTTCTTTATTACTTGTGTACAGCGTTATCTGCATTGATGCTCTTATGTGCTTTCTTACAGGATACGTTGGTGCCGCCACTGTTGGTGGTGCTGCCTGGTGGTTCCTGTATGACTCTACTGGCCCCGGTGTCACCTACTACCAGCTGGTATGTAGACTTTCTGAGAGATGGCTATTCCCACATTATTCAAACACACAAGTCATTTGCTTCCTTCCATTTCTCTTCCCCAGTCTCACTTCATGCAGTGCCACGATGAGAACGAGGACTTCGCTGGCCTGGACTGTGAGATCTTTGAGGCTTCTCCTCCCATGACCATGGCCCTGTCTGTGCTTGTCACCATTGAGATGTGCAATGCCCTCAACAGGTGTGTTTAAGATTAATTTAGACATGTTTATTATCAGTGCAGCTTCATGCACAATTACAGAAAAAACCTATAACATAGAAGTTACTCATTCCTTTTTACTTTTGTCCAGCTTGTCCGAGAATCAGTCTCTTGTGCGTATGCCCCCATGGAGCAACTTCTGGCTGCTCTCTGCCATGACCCTCTCCATGTCCCTCCACTTCCTGATCATCTATGTTGACCCTCTGCCCGTAAGTCTTCCTCTGTCTTCTCCTTGATTGGACTTCTCTGTATGACCATGGTGCTGCAGCACAGACCACTCATCCATATCTGCCCCACAGATGATCTTCAAGCTGACCCATCTGACATTTGACCAGTGGATGGTGGTCCTGAAGCTTTCCTTCCCTGTCATCCTCATTGATGAGGTGCTGAAGTTCGTCGCCCGTAACTACGTTGAGTGTAAGTATTCACAATTGGGCACAACACATTCATTCACCTTTTTTAATCTCACTCATCATTCTAATATTAATGTCATAATTTAATACAACTTTAATCTATGAACATTCATATTTTTCACTGTTCTTTTGTTTCTCATGTCTCTCACTTTTCCTTGTATTCCTCATTAACTCACTTACCTCCCTCTTTCACCTTCCAGACTAAATCAGTCACCGTACCATCTTTAGCCTGTAACCAAAGAAAGGTATCCTAATGCTACCAGAAGCACTTCGTGCCCATTTTTGCTGCATATTTAGTTTCCAATGTATTATTTGACGCCAGATCTCCTACTTACATTCAAAATGATTTACAACTAAATAATAACGTTAATTAGTGGATGCAGTAGGAGATCTGTGTACTCTGTTTCTTTGTCAAAATTGTATAGTATTAGTATTAGTCTTTTTACAATGTTGTTTGTGTGATGCCTCAGAAAGTGCCAGTCACTTTATGAGCTGCTGCTGTTGTGGAAATTGCTTATAAGCATTTTATCAATAGAAATGATGTGCTTAGCTTTGCTTTTTGGTCAACACAGTGTCCAACTGTCATAGCCCTTTTAATTAGTCAGAAAACGGATCGCAGAAGTTTTTGGCTTTATAATTCTGTAATCATAAACAATAAATTTAATATATATACGTTTATGACTTCAGAATTTAAGAGCATGAATATGCAATTGGTTGACTGTCAACAAAAGGCACCTTGCATCTTTTATCATCTAACATCCCTTTTCTATACAGGTACAGAAGCTAAATAAGAAGAAAAGGATCTTAACGGTTGGAGAAGACAATGCAGACACAAGACAAGAGGTCACATCTGAAGTTGGGAGCTTAAGCGAGCCAACTTGTGGAAGAGATGGGAGAAATACATAAGAAAAAACAAACAAAAAAAACATTTATAAAAATCTGTGTAAGGACGGATAAAGAGGAAATATCCCTGTTAATTATTGAAATATTTAAGATTTTATTCTAAGAAATAAATTATGTATTAAAGGTGATTTTTTTTGTTAAACTTGGATATTCTCACCTGTTGTGTTATTGTGTTCTATGTCCATTTTCATATGATTGACTTTCCAGCTCATTACTTCGACTTTAGTTTGTGTTGCTCTTGCTTTGGCTGGGCACTGTATGGCGTGGTGTAGCGTTGACTTCATATGGGCAGAAAAGCTCATGCTTGCAGCTGCCAGCACTCCCTATAGGCTCCATGCAGTCAGTGGACTCTTTTGAAGGTCTCAAGACACAAATGGACACTCAGTCACAACACTTTTGGTCTTATATATTGTTTACGTGATCTACTGCAATAAATTGATGATTACAAATTTCCCTCACTTGTGTAAAAATCTTTATTATACGGTTATTATATTAAATTGTTAAACACATCATGATCATTTTATCACAGAAAACAAAATCAAATTTAAGTTTTTAGGTCAAGGTTGGTGGGGCCAGTTCATTTGTCTTTGGTTGCTGCATATACTCTTGATCTTCAGAGGCCATTTTTCATCTGTTAAATGAGATCCCTAAATGGTATGTCCACATCTTTCATTTTCTCTTTGTAGTCTTCATCAAACATCTTTGATTGTTCAGGAGTAAAGTGGTTTCTCCAATCACCAACTTCACCTGTAAACAAACACACCAGTTACATCACACATGTGCTTGTTTCTTTTTAAACCTAGACTATATAGGGGGCTGGTGCAAGCACAAACTACACCATCAAAGGGCATCATTGCCAATGCAAAAAAAAAAAAAATGCTTGTAGTAAACAGGTTAAATGATGTTTTTAAAACGTTTAATTGTTTATGCAATAGAAACTACACAAAATCATTCTCAGGAGCAAACAAAGTGCTCGGGCAGGACAGTTATGTTTTACTTTCAATAAATTGTGTAAACTTGAAATTGAGCTGACCTTTTCTCATGAACGGAGAGATACTGTGGTCAAACGCAGGAGGTGGGACACAGGAGTAGTTGGACATGGGGTTTTCCTTCATGCTTTCAAATGAGGTCAGATCCACAATCTGACTGATAACTTCATCACAGATAGACAGGTCCAGGTACCTCATGATGCGCTCTACTTCCTGTCTGGGATTCTAGGCACACAGTCATGCTCAGTACACGCATTTCAAAGCAATGTTTCACCTTTAGTCGTGAGTATCACATGAGTATCACATGCTCACCTCCTTAGCTCATCAGTATCACAAGCTCACCTCCATAGCCCTTTTAATTAGTCAGAAAACGGATCGCAGAAGTTTTTGGCTTTATAATTCTGTAATCATAAACAATAAATTTAATATATATACGTTTATGACTTCAGAATTTAAGAGCATGAATATGCAATTGGTTGACAGTCAACAAAAGGCACCTTGCATCTTTTATCATCTAACATCCCTTTTCTATACAGGTACAGAAGCTAAATAAGAAGAAAAGGATCTTAACGGTTGGAGAAGACAATGCAGACACAAGACAAGAGGTCACATCTGAAGTTGGGAGCTTAAGCGAGCCAACTTGTGGAAGAGATGGGAGAAATACATAAAAAAAAAAAAAAAAAAAAACATTTATAAAAATCTGTGTAAGGACGGATAAAGAGGAAATATCCCTGTTAATTATTGAAATATTTAAGATTTTATTCTAAGAAATAAATTATGTATTAAAGGTGATTTTTTTTTGTTAAACTTGGATATTCTCACCTGTTGTGTTATTGTGTTCTATGTCCATTTTCATATGATTGACTTTCCAGCTCATTACTTCGACTTTAGTTTGTGTTGCTCTTGCTTTGGCTGGGCACTGTATGGCGTGGTGTAGCGTTGACTTCATATGGGCAGAAAAGCTCATGCTTGCAGCTGCCAGCACTCCCTATAGGCTCCATGCAGTCAGTGGACTCTTTTGAAGGTCTCAAGACACAAATGGACACTCAGTCACAACACTTTTGGTCTTATATATTGTTTACGTGATCTACTGCAATAAATTGATGATTACAAATTTCCCTCACTTGTGTAAAAATCTTTATTATACGGTTATTATATTAAATTGTTAAACACATCATGATCATTTTATCACAGAAAACAAAAATCAAATTTAAGTTTTTAGGTCAAGGTTGGTGGGGCCAGTTCATTTGTCTTTGGTTGCTGCATATACTCTTGATCTTCAGAGGCCATTTTTCATCTGTTAAATGAGATCCCTAAATGGTATGTCCACATCTTTCATTTTCTCTTTGTAGTCTTCATCAAACATCTTTGATTGTTCAGGAGTAAAGTGGTTTCTCCAATCACCAACTTCACCTGTAAACAAACACACCAGTTACATCACACATGTGCTTGTTTCTTTTTAAACCTAGACTATATAGGGGGCTGGTGCAAGCACAAACTACACCATCAAAGGGCATCATTGCCAATGCAAAAAAAAAAAAATGCTTGTAGTAAACAGGTTAAATGATGTTTTTAAAACGTTTAATTGTTTATGCAATAGAAACTACACAAAATCATTCTCAGGAGCAAACAAAGTGCTCGGGCAGGACAGTTATGTTTTACTTTCAATAAATTGTGTAAACTTGAAATTGAGCTGACCTTTTCTCATGAACGGAGAGATACTGTGGTCAAACGCAGGAGGTGGGACACAGGAGTAGTTGGACATGGGGTTTTCCTTCATGCTTTCAAATGAGGTCAGATCCACAATCTGACTGATAACTTCATCACAGATAGACAGGTCCAGGTACCTCATGATGCGCTCTACTTCCTGTCTGGGATTCTAGGCACACAGTCATGCTCAGTACACGCATTTCAAAGCAATGTTTTACCTTTAGTCGTGAGTATCACATGCTCACCTCCTTCATGTCTTCATAAAACAGATACAAGATGTTCTTCTTTTCTCTCTCTGCCCAGTAGCCTTTCACATGTTCATACCAGGAGCCCCATGCCACTGTCCAAATGTGACAGTAATGAGAAGATTAAAAATACTGGTAACCTCTATTCAATCATTCAATCAGCCAAAACATATGGAGGCTGTTACATCTCCTGACCTAAATAATTTCACTTTCATCTGGATAACTATAAGAAATCAATATGCAACCAACACAAGAGCGTAAGATGATTACTTTTGTGATATTTGTACTTAACTAAAATATTCATTATGATTATTTTGTCAGTGTCAAATAATGTATGAATAATTCAGCCATCAAATAGACCTTCTACATTCTTGTATATTCTATCATTCACAATATTTATTAGGATTATGTGCATCTTTACTTTAAATGGTAACCTAATATGCTTTATGTCTATTTACAGTAATAGCAGAAAATAAATTTACAAAGCTTATATTCCCTGGAGTGAACCCTAGAGTTTGATTAGTGTGTAAAATGACCCTTAGGAATGTGTGCTAATCTACTTACCATCCCCTCGCATGAACTTGTGGATGTAACTATCCCAGGGGCCTGGCTCTGGCTGGGTTTGGTTCATGCGGTCGAAGTGGTAGTAGCTCACCAGGTTGTCTTTGGCATTGCGTGCCACGTATATTACCTATACATCATATAAGCTTCATCATATAACAATAAGATTAACAGTGACACATGGGTCACTAGGACACAGTAGGATACCATAAAAAAGGCACTACAGTAGCTTTATGTAGGCAATAAACTAAAGACAAGACAAAGATATGAGAAGAGAAAGATATGAAAACTCACTTTGCACTTGTTTTCCCAGAAACCTAGAGGTACCAGCTGAAAAGGGAGGTGTGTCTTTATCATTCTCGGGGGGTCCATTTTTTTCAGAAGATCAAGACCTGAACACATTAAAAAAATTGAAATGCTGCTTATCCATAATATCTAACTTTTGTTTGAGCTTAATCAATATTTCAACAAAGATGAGAAATGATTAACTGAATGTACAGTGGCCACGACATTAGCACTGACTTGACATACATTCTATGGGTGCCTAATGCAAGAATAACTTATGAAGTAAAACAATGGTATAACATTAAACCATTTAGTAACTCCATACTCCACACTACAATGTGGAATTTAGACACTGAAGGTATGAATATTTAGGCCTATATACATATATAACACCACTACAACCAGTCAACTAATATGAATTGATATATAATTTAGAGGCATATTGGAAATGGGAATTCCAGCCAAAAATACTACTTACATATATAATTTATGCTGCAGTACTGCAGATATCAGAATGATATGTAATGACTTTTTGTTGCTTTTCTTAAAGGTGGGCTTTCATGTTTTATGTGTGTGCATGGTGGGTATTTTTCAGTAAAATCTGGATACACAGTCAATGGGGACAAAAATCAGGTGGTGTGTGTGTGTGCAAACTAAGCAATTACAAGTTTATTACATACTGATTCTATCTTGAAGCCTAGAAAAACAGCATTACAATAAGGTTTTATGAGTTTAATAATTTTGCAGTGCACTTGCCTGAGGGGATGGGTTTGGGAGAGACAATCTCGAGAAAGGGGCTGCGGACTGGTGTGGGGGCTCGTTTACATGCCTCAGCATCTCCGTTGTGCAGAAGCAAATCAATTATTTCCTGAGTCCATGTTGTTCCTAACATATAAACAAACAAACTGGTTAGTAGATTATTCTATGATTTCCTGGTCAGATAATGGAAAACATTTTACATTGTAAGATGAAGTGTACCAACAAAAACAAAACAGAGTTCTTATTCAATACATTTGAACTAAACACCTTTGGTTGGACACGCTAAAAGATGATTTGTTTTTAAACCTTTCACACACTTTCCAACAGCAAAGGAACATAGCATACCATAGCCCTGGCAATCAATTATCAGATAATGCTTCTGAACTTTTCCATTTAGTTCATACATTATACATCTGTGATCTAAATCCCTGAATATCCTAGAAGGTATGAAATGCATTTATCCTGACATCCCAATCTCTAATGATTAAACAGCAAGTTACAGCTACAATAAAGATTACTTCTGTCAACATAAGTGACAAACAATTTATACCTTAAAGTCAAAGACAATAATGTGGTCACCTGCTTTTGGATAGGTAGCAATGAGGAGATCTGAAGGGTCTGGACTGAAAGCCCAGATGTCTTCAAAGTTGTTTGCAATGTGACACATGAGAGGAATACCCCTCACAGCAACCAAGGGGAAGCGCCAAAGCTGCTTCCCTGCTCTTTGAATGGCTGTGCTGTAGTCCAATTCTTCTTCTTCTGACATGACTATAAAAATGCAAAAATCCACAATAAAAATTCAACAAAATAGGTAAAGAAGTCCCTCAGCTGAGAACCAATGCTGTGACAGCTATGGAGAGTAGCTTTTCTAGTAGCAGTCTCCTCCTCCTTCTTTGCCAGACCCACATTTCCGTCACTCCTCCATAACCTTTGCTCTGATGTTTATAAGTTAAGACAGAGCTTGTCCAGTGTAATGCAGGTTAATTCATATTAACATAGGTTTTGTGTCTTCCTCTCTCTTGTTTTTTTTTTTTTTTTAAATTATGGCAATTGCACACGCAGGTTTTTGACTAAACTGACTTATGTAACTTTCCTACTTATGTATGCTATCTACTTACTAACCCAACCCAATGTTTTCTTTGTAATTTGAGGTAAAGCTATGCATTCCACCCAAAAGAGGGCAAGTTATAGCAAAGTATTATCCACTTTTGCTCTACGTCCAACTTTGCATTTCCGCGTTGTTTGTACAGACTACATCAGGATTTTGTCCTTAGAGAATTTCAGGACACATTCCTGGATTTCAACACCCAATTTTTATCCAATAGAAACAATGCTTTCATTCAGCCTAAACATTTCCCATCTAGAACAACATCTTTACATTTGAAAGTGTGATCCAAATAGATTCACATAATAAACACTTCTACAGTCAAACATATATTTACTTGAGATGTAAAAAAATGCAATGTATGGTTTTGGGAAATGCACTCCAGATGTGTAGCTAAAGACCAAGAGGGATAGACCTACTGTGGAGAAACCAGTCAAAAAGGGCTCACAGTAAAATATTACACATATATTTATACAAATGTTTATTTAAAAAAGTAAATTACATCTTTAATTTAGGCTCAAAATACATTTACAGCCAGTGGCGATCCTACACTGATTGGCGCCCTAGGCAGGACCCCCCCCCACCCCAGAGCCCCCGTACACAAAAAAAAAGTAAGGACTGGACGTATGGGGCGCCAAGTGTCACAGGGATTATTTTGTGAATGAAATGCCTTTTGTGCCACGAAATGGAGAAAATGGTTACGGAATTGTAAAACACCATGATGCCTTTCGTCCACAGAATGCACACATGAATTATAATTGTGCCCACAAAATGATGAAGACAGTATGTCATTTCATGGACAAAAAACAAAACAGGTTCTTCCTGATGTGCTGGAATTTAAGTTACATTATGTGTCTTAAATCACAAAATGCATTTCGCGATTCACGTAATGCCTTTTCGTGCACAGCATATTTCGCTGTAGTTGATCATAAAATAAGTAATCCAGGTTTAAACCAGGTCTAAACCAGGACTACACCAAGACTACAACAGGACTAAACCAGGACTAAACCAGAACGACACAGGACTAAACCAGGACTAACCCAGGACTAAACCACATCTAAACCAGGACTAAACCAGGACTAAGCCAGGACCTGGATTTGAGAGAGTGAGAGGGAGAACCCCGAGCCTGAGGAGCAGAGTGTCCGCAAAGCGTGATCGGGCGACAACTGTGCTGAGCCCCATGGGGCACGGAGCTCTGTGCTGGTCCTTTTGCCTGCGGCCCCGACAGTCTACACGTGTGCACCTCTGGGCTCATCCCGACACTCAGTCCTGGTTTAGATCTGGTTCAGTCCTGGTTTAGTCCTGTTTAATCCTGGTTCAGTCCTGGTTTAGTCCTGGTTCAGTAATTGTTTAGACCTGGTTTAATCCTGGTTTAGTCCTGGTTTAGTCCTCGTTCAGTCCTGGTTTAGACCTGGTTTAGACCTGGTTTAGTCCTGGTGTAGCCCTGTTTTAGTCTTGGTGTAGCCAAGGTTCAGTCCTGTTTCAGTCTTGGAGTAGCCCTGGTTCAGTCCTGGTTCAGTCCTGGTTTAGCCCTGTTTTAGTCCTCGTGTAGTCCTGGTTTTAGTCTTGGTATAGTCCTGGTTTACACCTGGTTTAGGCATGGTTTATTTTATGCTCAACTACAGCCAAATATGCTCTACACAAAAAGGCATTACGTGATTCACAAAAAGCATTTTGTGATTCATGTACAATTCCGTAACATTTTCTCCATGTGGCACAAAAGGCATTTCATTCACGAAATAAGCCCTGTGACACTTGGTGCCCCATACGGGGGGGGGGGACTGGGAGGCTGTCCCCCCTAAGAGCGTCCCTGTTTACAGCACTCAAACGACTTGAAAGACTGATATGCAGTGTTCCTTATTTGATACAAAAGTACTTGTAATACATGTTATCATGGAATAGTTATTTTAATCACCAAATCAAGTGCAGCTGAACTGAACGGTCTGAACAACATGGCCAAACCTCCTTATCAAAGCCTGATATTGTCAAATCTCAGAAGATTCAGCCTGCTATCTCCCGCCTAGCCCCACTTCTCCACTGGCGGCAGTACGTCCGAGGAACTGTTTTTTTTTATGGAGAATTATTTGTCTTCTCTTCAGCGGGGCCCTTCTGCTAAGCAAGAAAAGAAGCATTTGGTATGAGTGCATCTGTCTGCGGTACAAACGTGGACAAAATTGTAGATACCCCTCTAGTAATGAAAGAAAAATCAACAATTTTCACTGAAATAACTTGAAACTAAGAAAAACAATAATAAATAAAAATTTCCTGAAAAATAGCTAATGAAAATCAGACACTGTTTTTGAATTGCTGTTCAACAGAATTATTTTAAAAAACAAACTAATGAAACTGGCCTGGACAAAAATGATGGCACCCCTAGAGAAAATTGTAAGTAATTGAACAATAGGGACATGTTAAACTTAGGTGAAAGTGAAGAAGAGAACTGTGTCAGGAGACTAGAAAGAAAATGATAGACAAGCAGGTTATAGATAAAGACAATAAGACCATCTCCAAGCAGTTTGATGTTCCTGTGATTACAGTTACACATGTTCTTCAGAAGTTTAAGGTCCACAAGACTGTAGCCAACCTGCTCGGACGTGGTCGCAAGAGGAAAATTTATGACAAATTAAAGAGATGGATCATACAAATGGTAACCAAAGAGCCCAGAACAACCTCCAAGGGCAAGGTACATCAGTGTAAGATCACACCATCCGTCACTGTTTGAGTCAAATTGGACTTCATGTGAGGACACCACTGCTGAGAGCAAATAATAAAAAAGTGATACTGGAATTTACCATGATGCATATTAACAAGCCACAAAGCTTCTGGAAAAATGTCTTTTGGACAGATGAGGCAAAACTGGAGCTCTTTGGCAAGGCACATCAGCTCTATGTTCACAGACGCAAAAATGAAGCAGACCCAGAAAATAACACTATCCCTGTTGTGAAGCCTGGAGGAGACTTGGTTATGTTCTGGGGCTGTTTTGCTGCATCTGGCACAGGGTGTCTTGTGTTTGTGCAAGGTACAATGAAATCTCAAAACTATTAAGGTATTTTGGAACAAAATGTGTTGCCTAGTGTCAGAAAGCTTGGTCTCAGTTGTAGGACTTCCAACAAGATAATGACCCAAAACACACAGCTAAAAACACACAAGAATGGCTAAGAATAAAACTTTGGACTGTTCTGCAGTGGTCTGTGAGCTCAGATCTCAGTTCTATTGAACATCTGTGAAATGAGCTGAAACATGCTGTCTGAAGAAGGCACCCTTCAAACCTAAGACAACCAAAGGAGTTTGCTCACATGGAGTGGGTCAAAATACCAGTTACAGAAACCGTTTGATTGCAGAGTTTGCCTCAAAACGTATGCAACAAAATATTAAGGTAAGGGTACCATCATTTTTGTTCAGGCCAGCTTCATTATTTAGTTTTTTTTCCTAATAATTCTGTTGAACCACAGGTGAAAAGCAATGTTTGATTTTCATGGGTGAATTTTTGTAAATTTGTATTTATAACTGCTTTTATCTGTTTCAAGTTATTTCAGTGATGATTGTCGATTTTTCTTTCATTGCCAGAGGGGTACCAACAATTTTGTCCATGGCTGTATATATCCCATGGCTCTTATTTTTTCTTACTGGCTAGTTACTTAGTTACGTTTGCCTAAACCTCCACTCTTCAGAGTAGCGGGCACAAAGCCCCAGCACCAGTACACTTGCTAGGAAAGCGCAAGGGAGAAACCCCACATCCCTGCCACAGGGGCCCGGGGCATACACAGAACCCACAGGTCAGCGGACAAAGGATACGTTCTGCTTCAATCCTTTGGAAAAGGTATGATGGAGGTGAAGATTAGTTTTGCACAAATCTAAGGGACAAGTGTCATAGCTAAATAGTGTGTAAATGAGCTTGTGGGTGCGAAGTAGTGGTGCTCTGCCGTGTGCGTTTTTGGAACAGCATATCTTGTTCTTGGATATTCTTGTTTTGTTTTGCTGACGTTGTTTTGATTGTGAGCAGGATCAGATTGTACTGCTGCGTAAATATTGCACTTGGCTGTGCGTTATGTTCTGATTGTGATAACCAATCACAGTGCAAACTAGGACAGGAAACTGATGAAATATAAGACAAAATACTTATATTCATTCAAGATATAGTTCAGCCAAAAGCAACCAAAATGACTGTCTGTCTCTGGCATATGTTATAAAACTATAAGTGCTATTCTTTGGTCAGAACCAAGAACCAAGGAGAGTGACTGGTCTATGCACAGAAAGTTTTTTACAATGCAACAAAATATTTAAATGAGTATGAAGCTATTAAAATCTCTATTATGCATGGATAATATAACAGTATATTCGTAATTTTATTTGGTTAAACAGGAATTTGATGACGTTTTTAATTTAAGGCTAACCCACAACTGGTCTGGCCCATCCACAACTGGAATCCTGGTGCTGTGCCTGGCCAACTGCTCTGATGAGCGAGGCTGTAGTGTCTGTCCTTCGCTCTCGCCCATGTGGAGGTTGATTTGAGTGCACTTGATTTGAGTGTGCAATGACAAACGCCCCCAAGAAGTACTTCAGGCCTGCAATGTAAAGCAATGGGCAGAGGCATCGGATTTCACGTCAAATTTTCTCCAAACTTCAGGTTCTCCCATAGAACTCACTTCAGTTCATTCTGACCCAGCGCATTCAAAGGGCAAACATATGAATCAAATTGTGATATGATCACATTTAACATTATAAAAATATGTCCATGCAG